TATATATATATATGGTATCAGAGTGATCTAATTTCTGTGCACTGAGGACAAGCAAGTTCTAGGTTACAAACTGAACTCTCCAATGCAAGAAAAGATGCATTTCTTCCTTTAGGAGGTGCTATTGTCATGAGAAAAGACAAAGGTTTCAGTTTTGTTTTTGCATGTGCGCGGGTATTCTGTTTGTAATAATTATTTGGATACACTCTATTTTTAATATGCTAGTTGTGATAATTTCATGCCAAGTAAAAATGTCCATAGTCATATTTTATGTTCCTAAAGTAACAGAATGACTTTCAATCTAGAAAAGACAAACAAAATGCTAATGTAGCATTTTTTTCAATTTTCCCGAAAATTTCCATTTCCCCCCCGAAAAAAACTGGGGAAAAACCGGTTTTTTTCCCGAGCTTCAAAATTTCCAGAAATTTTACATCTCTATACTGCTGGACACGGATGCCTCCTTACCATGAGGAAGGCGGAATACACCACCCTCCTGGCCGTCGGGATGATCTGCCCCCCTCCCCGATGCAGTGGCTCCTGGGCGATCACCGCATCCAGGATCTTGAACTTGACGTTGCGGATCACTGCGGTGAAAGGAAGAGAAGCACAGTTGGGAGGGACCAAAGGTGGCCACCTGAAGCCTCCCCGCGCAGGCAGGGAAACGCGGCGCTGGTCACGCCAAGGTCAAAAGCTTCCTGGTCCTTTCCCTTAAGGCTCACTCTACTTTGGCCTCTGATTGACAGCAGAATCTGAAGCAAGCCAAGGCACTGCTAATCTCAGGGGTAACTGATCACGCGGAGGCCTCCCTTTATGCAAGCAGTCAAAGCAAGGCACCACAGAGGAACAACTGAACGCCCTTCGATCTCTGATGTGTTTTAGATGTTCCGGGTGAGGACAGAGGCCCGAGAGTGAAGCGAGACGGGGAAGTCAACAGCTTCTGGCGAGATCAGGGGCTTGTGCTTCAGCTCCCGCCCCCTGGGACAGACAGATCAGACGCCTCTGCCGGGCACGGTTCACTGGAGAAGCACAGTGACCTCAGACTGACCCCAAATAATTATTACAGGAGAGTGGCTGAGACAGTTGCCACTTTGGACGGACTGTCTAGCGCACAAGGCTGGGGTGGGAGAGATCTGAAGGTGTGGGTGGGGTGGGGTGGTCCACGTGGTTTGATTTTTTTGCTCACACTCATCGCAGAGAGGCCCTTCTCTGGTCCCCCACTGGAAGCCCTGCACGATGCTGTCCTTCACGGAGCCCAAGAGGGTCTTGTCAACCTGCAAAGAAGTGGCACATCAGCACGACGGCGGACACCAGCCCGCGAGGGCTAACGGGAATGTTCGGTCCTTACTGTGGCAACGTGCCAAAGCTCTCCCTGTACAAATGCCTCTGACAGTGTTATGCCTGATTTTACTGGGGAGGGTGGGACTGGAAAGAAGGCGATGGACACACACCCAGATCTCGACTCCAATGGCGAGCAAGGCTCCCTCTGAGCTGTGCAGTCTCGAAAGCAAAAATTCTACTTTGTGAGCTGCTCCTGGCATTAAAGCTGTGAGCGAGCGATTGGGCTTTTGCATAAATTAGTTTGCAGCTCTGGAGCCCTCCTTCCTGAGCTGGGACAAAAATGTGTGAGCCGGAGGTTAAAGAACTGTGAGCTGGCTCACACTCACTCAGCTTAGAGGGAACCCTGCTGGGGAGGCCAAGAAATGAGCAGAGATGGGGGCACGGGCTCAGTGGGCCCACCACAGACTCTCCATGGGGGAAAAAGAGCCACAGATGGATGCCAAAGCAACGGCCATGCTTTGCCACAGTGCCAACTGGAAAACTATTATTGTTCTTATAAGGTAGACAATAGGGACTGTCTACATCTGCAACACGTTTGCAGATGCCTCCAAGATGAATTTCTTCTTCTGACCGTGGAGTTCAGGTCTTCTCTGCAAACCAAGTGTTAAGCCTCCACATAGCATGGCCTCCCCCTACAATTCTAGCTCTGCAAACAACCAAAATCTGAAAGTCTTAATATAGCTTTAACTGAGTCATGTGATGTTTTTGTGTGTGGTTTCAGTCCCCGTGAGCATCATTTGCACAATTTGCTTCTGGGTCACAGGATTAGACATCTCTGGAAGTGCTCGCCGTGGCACGTGGGTCTAAGAATGTCGCTGCCTGGAAGGGGAGGCCTTTGTGCTGTGCAGGCTCAAACCCAAACCCGACTCCAGCCCCCCTCCCCCCAGTCCTGCCTGGTGCTTACCTCGGAGGGCAGGGTGTCGTCCACCAGGATGTTGGGCCCGGTAGCATCTGGCCCGAAGGCCCAGATGGAACGGGCAGCCAGCAAATCCCAGTCGTACTTGGTCTGGAAAAACTCACCCAGCTTTTTCCTAATGGGAGATGTGCAAATATTACAAAGGAGAAGAAAAGAAGGCGGAAAGGGGCGTGTGTGTGTGTTAGCCAGCTTAACCGTCTTGCTCAACCCCCAGACTTAAGTGAACAGATTCCCTAAGATCCTAAAGAGATCTTGCCTAGCCTCTCCTTCAGCATTTCTTTGGAAAAGACTACAACACAACCTCGGGAAACATTACGCTACAATGCCTAAAGCACAGAAGTGTTTTTCTGTCTCTGCACTGAAATCCCCTTAGTCTCATCAACGGGTTAGTTTGGGTAAAAACGTTTAGATCCATTAAAAAGCCAGCTTGGTGAATCGGGCAGCAGACAGTTAACAACTTTTTCGTATGTCATAACAAACTGCAAAAAGCATGTGCTCGCGCCCTTTCACGCACAGGAGTGCCTCTCCTAAGGCAGGGGGCCTGAAAACCAAAGATGCTTCTTGTTCAGAATGGTGGTTAGAACGGATAATGGTCGGGTTAGAACGGATAAAAGGAAGTCCTTCTTCACCCAAAGAGTGATTAACACTTGGAATTCACTGCCACAGGAAGTGGTGGCGGCTACAAGCATGGGCGGCTTCAAGAGGGAATTAGATAAGCCTATGGAGCAGAGGTCCATCAGTGGCTATGAGCCATAAGGTATAGATAGGGGCTCTGGGGCAAGTGATGCTCTGTCTTCTTGGTGCTTGGGGGGGCCAACGGTGGAAGGGCTTCTAATGTCCTGGCCCCACTGCTGGGTGGACCTCCTGAGGGCCCCTGGTATTTCTGGCCACTGTGTGACCCAGAGTGTTGGACTGGATGGGCCTTTGGCCTGATCCAACATTGGCGTCTCTTATGTTCTTATGATAGGATAACCATCTTCCAGTGCTGGAAGGGCTGTCATCTAGAGTATGGAGCTGAGTTGTTTTCTGTTGCCCCAGAAGGTCGGGCCAGAACCAGTGGGTTGAAATTAAATCAGAAGAGTTTTCAGCTAAACATTAGGAAGAACTTCCTGACAGTTAAGAGCCGTTCCTCAGTGGAACAGGCTTCCTCGGGAGGTGTTGGGCTCTCCCTCTCTGGAGGTTTTCAGACAGAGGCTGGGTGGCCATCTGACAGCCATGTGGATTCCGTGAACTTTGGCAGATCATGAGAGGGAGGGCAGGGAGGGTTGCCTTAGTGCTTAGTTCTCGTGGCCCTTTCTTACACACCCAGGGAAATGCTTTTTTAATTTTTAATATGCTTTTTAAGGTGTGGTGACCAGTGAATTCCATGTGTTAATCACTCTTTGGGTGAAGAAGGACTTCCTTTTATCCGTTCTAACCCGACTGCTCAGCAATTTCATGGAGTGCCCACGAGTTCTTGTATTGTGAGAAAGGGAGAAAAATACCTCTTTCTCTGCCTGCTCTTTCCCATGCATCATCTTATAAACCTCAACCATGTCACCCTCAATCATCTCCTCTTCAGGCTAAACATACCCAGCTCCTTCAACCTTTCCTCACGGGATTTGGCTTGGCGGTGCTGCCCTCACTGTGCCTGCGCCAGCCCAGCCATGTGACCTGCTGTCATGTGACCTGGGCTGGCTTGGCTGGCGCAGGCTCAGTGAGGCCACCGCTGCCAAGCTGAGTCTTCTTCCTCTGCCGTGGGTGCCCCCCACCCTGCATCAGAATCCCAAAGGTGCCCACAGGGCTCAAAAAGGGTGGGGATCCCTGTTCTAACCATTTGCAAATTTACAGATGCTTGAATAGATGGATCACTTAAAGCTCTCAATGTAGGCGACGATGCCTTTAATTAGGCGACGGCTCTAACAGACACCCACAATTCACTCGGTGGCAACTTGGCCACGACACTTCCAGCTCTTCCCCCTTTCACTTGGCCACTGTGTGACACAGAGTGTGGGGCTGGATGGGCCACTGGCCTGATCCAACATGGCTTCTCTCACGTTCACTCGGGGACACAGCAATTCTGCCTCTTCCTGACGTCATCCTGGGGGCTTCCACCTGACGCCTCCGGCCCAATTCCTCTCTCGATCCCCTCCCAAGCCTCCCCGTCTCCACTTTTCCTGCAACTGCCAACTCAGCAGGCCCAGCTTCCTTGCCATTTGGTGCATGCGCGGCTGTACGTGAGCAACCATGAGGGGGCTTCTGAGGGCACAACCACCGTTGCTTAAACGTCGCATTCAAGTTCTCGGAAGTGCATCAACACATCCAGATGTGGCATCACAGACATGGGGGGTGGGACTGCAGAGCTGGAGGCAGCCGGGGGCAATAAGAGCGAGGACAACGACACACAAAACTTTAGCCACACAGACACACACACATGGGTCCCTGCCTCAGGTCTTCTCCTCCCCCGTGACCAGCTGTCATACCCACAGCCAACAACGTAGTACACTCTTTATCAGGAAAAGGTAATACGTTATTGAAGAGCTATAGATGCATTAACATAGGCACAGTTAAGAATGGCGGCTGCCCCTGGGGCATAATAGGTTATAGGGCAGTGGTGGCGAACCTATGGCACGGGTGCCAGAGGTGGCACTCAGAGCCCTCTCTGCGGGCACGTGCGCCATCGCCCCAGCCAGGCCCAGACCGTCATTAAAGTGTCAAATTCTCTGCGAAGCTGGGAACCAAGCTCGCTCCCACGGCTCCCTTAGAAGTAGACATCAACATCCCACCACCTGCAGAACTTGGAGATAAGCGTTACAGCAGTGAAGAAGCACAGAAGGAATGCAAAAGTGATTAGAGCACAACTGACCCCCCCAACCTCCATGGCAGCATAGCTGACACCAGCTCAGCCGCCGCCTTCATACCTGTTCCATGTGATCTGCACCACTTCGTTCTCAATGTCTTCCGCCAGGCCCTTCTCCAGCGGCTCGGCAATCATGGTGATCTTGTTCCTGAGCAGAGAGAACAATGGGATTCAGCTGGGCGCAACTAGGATGAGGAAGGGGAGGGAGGAGGGTTTCCCACAGAACAGAGAAGCCAGGGGTGCGGCAGAAAGAAAGAGAACCGACTGCCCGCTTTCTCGGGATACATTTTTCCAGAAGGCCAAGCACAGAGTCCCCTCCCAAGCCTCCCCGTCTCCACTTTTCCTGCAACTGCCAACTCAGCAGGCCCAGCTTCCTTGCCATTTGGTGCATGCGCGGCTGTACGTGAGCAACCATGAGGGGGCTTCTGAGGGCACAACCACCGTTGCTTAAACGTCACATTCAAGTTCTCGGAAGTGCATCAACACATCCAGATGTGGCATCACAGACATGGGGGGGTGGGACTGCAGAGCTGGAGGCAGCCGAGGGCAATAAGAGCGAGGACAACGACACACAAAACTTGAGCCACACAGACACACACACGGGTCCCTGCCTCAGGTCTTCTCCTCCCCCACGACCAGCTGTCAGAACCCACAGCAAACAACGTAGTACACGCACCCTGTGAGGTAGGTGGGGCTGAGAGAGCTCTGACAGAAACGGCTCTTTTTCGAGGACAGCTCCTATCAGAACTAGGGCTTGCCCAAGGTCATCCAGCAACTGCGACTGGAGGGGTGGGGAATCAAACCCGGTTCTCCTAGATTAGAGCCCGCACACTTAACCACTACACCAAACTGAACATGAACCGCCTTTCGGTTTATTGTGCTGGTCTTATGACTGTTCTTAATAAATAATAATAATAAAAGAAGGTGAACCGCCATCACCCCCCTTCTACTCAAAAGAGCCTTGTAAATATCTGAAGAATGCCACCATTGTTTCCTTTAACCCTCTTTCCCCTCAAGAAGTCAGGATTCATCATCTGAGCATGGTCTACCCAACATGGTCTACCCTTTCCCCACATATACCCCCAAGAGCACTTCGGTCGGGGACCCAACACCGCCGGTAATTCCAGGCCCCCGGGAGGCCTCCCCCGCGCGGGAGAAGACACTCCGGCCGTTTACGCTGAAGCTGGGAACCAAGCTCGCTCCCACGGCTCCCTTAGAAGTAGACATCAACATCCCACCACCTGCAGAACTTGGAGATAAGCGTTACAGCAGTGAAGAAGCACAGAAGGAATGCAAAAGTGATTAGAGCACAACTGACCCCCCCAACCTCCATGGCAGCATAGCTGACACCAGCTCACCCGCTGCCTTCATACCTGTTCCATGTGATCTGCACCACTTCGTTCTCAATGTCTTCCGCCAGGCCCTTCTCCAGCGGCTCGGCAATCATGGTGATCTTGTTCCTGAGCAGAGAGAACAATGGGATTCAGCTGGGCGCAACTAGGATGAGGAAGGGGAGGGAGGAGGGTTTCCCACAGATTGTGAGCCGCCCTGAGCCCGCTCACGGGGGAGGGCGGGGTAAAAATGTCAAAAAACAAACAAACAAACAAAAATTTAAAAATAAAGCCGTGCACACAAAAGCTTAAAAATAAAATTAAAAAATAAAGCTGTGCACACAAAAGCTTAAAACCCAGAGTCAAACTTTGCTGGTCATAAAGGTGCCACTAGACTCAAACTTAGCCATGGCTCTTTTTGTAGTAGGTACTCATTTGCATATTAAGCGACACACCCCTAATGTAGCCAATCCTCCAAAAGCTGACAGTAGCCCCTGTAAGAAAAGTTCTGTAAGCTCTTGGAGGATTCTACATTAGGGGTGTGTGGCCTAATATGCAAGTTCCTCCTCCCATGCCCATCCTGTCACATGGACATACCCGGCCTCTGAAGCTCAATTCAGAAGGAGCCCCTGATTCAGAACAGCAGCTGTGAGCAGGATGACCCTGCGTGCATCGAATGATCCCCACGTGGCTGGTTAGTCACCCTTCCAGACAACATTACATTGCCACGCTCTGCCTTGAGGGGGAAATGCCTATGACAGTATGGAGAAAACACCCCAATCCTTGGCTAAGGGGAACCGGGCAGCACAAGGGTAGCTGCCCCGGGGAGGGACCTTCCAGCAGCTTCCAATGCGGCACCAGTCCATAGTCCTCCCCTTGTCTGCAACCCATTCAGTATGCTGTGCCCAACCACTGACGAGCTGCTACAGTTCAGGGCTAGTCGATCCTGACTTCCCTTGCACGCAGGACTTGCGTTAATCCAGAGTAAGATGGTATCTGCTTTGTCTGCAGCAGCACAACACTCCTGGCTTGCCTGTAAGCCTCTGATTGGCAAACTTACTTCTTATTGGGTGTCTCAGCAAAACACTTCAGGGAAGAGGTTTCCACAACGGTCTCACAGAACGTTACCACGGGATCAGCAACCTTTAAAAACGCAGGCAGAGAAATGAGTCGTGCTTTAAACAAGCATCTGTTCCAAACTTAAGAGTCCCCAGAATTCAAGCAGTACCTATCAGGGCAACAGCCCCCCCCCCCCCGGTGCCCGCTCATGGGGAGGGCGGGGTAAAAATGTCAAAAATAAAATTAAAAAATAAAGCTGTGCACACAAAAGCTTAAAACCCAGAGTCAAACTTTGCTGGTCATAAAGGTGCCACTAGACTCAAACTTAGCCATGGCTCTTTTTGTAGTAGGTACTCATTTGCATATTAAGCGACACACCCCTAATGTAGCCAATCCTCCAAAAGCTGACAGTAGCCCCTGTAAGAAAAGTTCTGTAAGCTCTTGGAGGATTCTACATTAGGGGTGTGTGGCCTAATATGCAAGTTCCTCCTCCCATGCCCATCCTGTCACATGGACATACCCGGCCTCTGAAGCTCAATTCAGAAGGAGCCCCTGATTCAGAACAGCAGCTGTGAGCAGGATGACCCTGCGTGCATCGAATGATCCCCACGTGGCTGGTTAGTCACCCTTCCAGACAACATTACATTGCCACGCTCTGCCTTGAGGGGGAAAATGCCTATGACAGTATGGAGAAAACACCCCAATCCTTGGCTAAGGGGAACCGGGCAGCACAAGGGTAGCTGCCCCGGAGAGGGACCTTCCAGCAGCTTCCAATGCGGCACCAGTCCATAGTCCTCCGCTTGTCTGCAAGCTGTGCCCAACCACTGACGAGCTGCTACAGTTCAGGGCTTGTCAGTGCTGACTTCCCTTGCACGCAGGACTTGCGTTAATCCAGAGTAAGATGGTATCTGCTTTGTCTGCAGCAGCACAACACTCCTGGCTTGCCTGTAAGCCTCTGATTGGCAAACTTACTTCTTATTGGGTGTCTCAGCAAAACACTTCAGGGAAGAGGTTTCCACAACGGTCTCACAGAACGTTACCACGGGATCAGCAACCTTTAAAAACGCAGGCAGAGAAATGAGTCGTGCTTTAAACAAGCATCTGTTCCAAACTTAAGAGTCCCCAGAATTCAAGCAGTACCTATCAGGGCAACAGGCGCCCCCCCCGCCCCCGGCACCTTTCCAGTGGGTAAGCCAAAATGAAGCCCCGTGTCCAGGTCAGAAGGAACCCTTGCCGAGTCAAGAAGAAAGGCAACCTCTTTAGTACCTTGATGTCAATCTCGGAGTACATTTTCCGCAGGTCGTGCATCACACAGTCAAGATAGAGCTCGCCTGTGCCCAGGATCACGTGTTCCCCGGATTCTTCTACCTGGAGAAACCAGGATAAATCTCTCACAAACACGCAGTCCAGCAATGGCATCCCATTTTGACTTTGCCTGGAGGGGCTGAGGCTTGAACACCTTGTATGTTGGGACTACTGCATCTCTGTAACCTGGAAAGGTAACTCTGAAATTCTGTCTTATGTTTAGCTAGAGCTGCAAAAGCGAAGCCTTTTGTTATTTCTAGTCCTTCACAGTCTTATCTTGTTTTAATATCTTGGGCACCTCAATGAACGAAATACATATTTTACTGTGTCGTGGGACTTGGGCTCAATAGACCTCAAAGGCTCCCTCCCTTGCCTTGGACCCTTGACTACCAAAAGGACTTGTTTTGCTCTTGAACTCAGACTGCAGTGACACCCGGCAGAGCTGACTTCCTCTGTTAAGTTCCAGAGCCAGTTGGGAGATTTGGGTCTTTCCCTCCTGGACTGCTGGGAGCCACTAAAAGACCTGGTGGCAGGCTACCTTAGACTTGAGTGAGTTTAGATTCCATCAAGTGTTTGTGTAACCTTGCTCTGCAACCTGTTCTTTGAACCCAAAAGTGCTGACCTGGAGAGGTTGCGCCATTTGTGACAAAGGAGGAGGAGGAAGAGGAAGAGGAGGAAGAAGAGGAGGAGGAGGAGAAGATTGGATTCATACCCCACCCTTCACTTGGAGTCTCAGAGCGGCTTACAAACTCCTTTCTCTTCTCCTCCCCACAAGAGACACCCTGTGAGGTGGGTGGGGCTGAGAGAACTCTGACACAAACTGCTCTTTCGGGAACAGCTGTGCCAGAGCTTGTGACTGACCCAAGGTCACATCAGCAGGTGCAAGTGGAGGAGTGGGGAATCAAACCCAGTTCTCCCAGATTAGAGTCCACAGACTTAACCACTACACCAAACTACCCCCCCCCAATTTAATTTCTCTAAGCAAGTCTTCTGCCTCTTTGATTGATACCAGGAAGTTTTAGGAGAAGAATTCTAAAACATGTAAAGGTAAAGGTTCCCTTGCTCGAAAGCCAGTCGAGTCCGACTCTAGGGTTGCGGGGCTCATCTCCGCTTCCAAGCCGAAGAGCCAGCGCTGTCCGAAGACGTCTCCGTGGTCGTGTGGCTGGCATGACTAAACACCGAGGTGCACGGAACGCTGTTCCCTTCTCACTGAAGTGGGATTATGATCCCTGACTCTTCTCTTCGACTGCTCCCACTTCTTGATGCCTTCCCATCCAACCCTGTCCCCCCCCCACACACCCTCCAAAGCAACTGCGCGCACCTTGGTGGTGAGAGACGGGTAGCTCTTGTTGACTTTCCGCAGGCCGTCCAGCATCTTGGGGAGCTCAGACGGATTGACAGGCTCCACGGCTATCTTGATGACAGACGTGGTGTTGAACTTCAAGGGACGAAAGATCTGAGCCTGAAATGAAAACAGGGACTATCCAGCAGCCGTGTTAACATCCTAACCTTTCTTCAAAGAGCTTTGAGGTGCAGCCAGGTGGGTTCTCAATGGTCATTCCCACAATTACCTTGTCAAGTTTGATTCAGGTGGGTAGCCGTGTTGGTCTGGAGCCACAGGACATAGGTGGAGCCCAGCGCGTGCACGGAAAGGGCTCTTTTTGTAGTAGGTACTCATTTGCATATTAAGCGACACACCCCTAATGCAGCCAATCCTCGAGGAGCTGACAGTAGCTCCTGTAAGAAGAGCTCTGTAAGCTCTTAGAGGATTGGCTACATTAGGGGTGTGTGGCCTAATATGCAAAGGAGTTCCTGCTACAAAAAGAGCGCCGACACCCCCCTAATGTAGCCAATCTACCAAGAGCTTCCGACTGTCGGAAACTTATACCCAGAATTAAACTTTGTTGGTCTGTTGTTTTTTTTTAAGCCCCTAGAAGGGATTTTTAATTGATTTTTTTCACTACAAAAAACTACAACAGAAACAAAAGGGAGGGGAAACTACACATACAGGAGAAAGTAAAGAACCCACTACTGACTAAAACCCCAAGAGAGGAGATCCTCCAACTAGCTTAGATACACCGAGTCTTCTCATCGTTGATCCCTTTATAAACTGAGTCAAACATTTATAGCCCTTTCCCCTTAAAGCTTAAATTTAACTGTCTAGTAACAGTACTCCCAATCATCCCCTAACCCAAAATCTCAAAGGCACAATTCAGAGTCCTTCAGCCTTTACTTCTTCTTTTCCCTTCTCTTCCGCAACTTGTAAGGACTTTTTGGAGCTGCCGCCCCTTGCTCAGACAGAGAGTCCTCTCCGGTCTTAAAGGTGCCACTGGACTCAAACCTTTGTTCTTTATTTATTTTATTTATTTATTTCACTTTTACCCTGCCCTCCCCGCTAGGCAGGCTCTGGGCGGCTTCCAAAAACTGACAAGCAGTATACATCAGAGGTCATTTCGGGGGGGATCGCGGGGGATCGCAGTTCCCCCGGGTGAGGTGCAGGGGGGCGGTGCACATGATGAAGCCCCGCCCCCTGCTTCCGGCCGCCCCGCTTCCGGCCCTCATTCAGCCAGGAGGCAGGAGAAGAGGGAGGGTAAGTTGCTTCCTCCCCGCCTCTCCCCACCCCTGCCTGGGGCCAGGGAGGGCCTTGGCGGGGCTTCCTCGCACTCCCGCTGGCCTTGCAGGTCCACCGCCGGGCCCCTGATGTCAGGGGGTGTGGCATATGCTAATGAGTTATGCTAATGAGTTCCCCTAGCTCTTTTTCTACGAAATGACCCCTGGTATACATTCACAATAAAAATACAAGACAACCAGTCAATATAAAACATTCATTAGATGGCGATAAAACTAAAGTGCAATTTAGGGACACATTCAGCGGTGCCACCGCATTAGGTCGTATTGGATCGGGGTTCACACAGGGCACTGCTGGTACGCCTATCGGAACGCCTGCCTGAAAAGTTCTGTTTTCACGGCCCTGCGGAACTGTGACAAGTCCCCGCAGGGCCCTGATCTCGGCAGGGAGCTCGTTCCAGTAGGACGGAGCTACAAACGAAAAAGCCCTCGTCCTGGTTACCATCAACCTGACTTCCTTAGGGCCAGGGAGGTCCAGGCGGTTTTGGGATCCTGATCGCAGTGCTCTCTGGGGAACATTCTTGTGAAATTTGCTAGACAGCTTTATTCAAACTCTAGGGCAGCTCTCCGCCCGTGAAGCGTGAAGTTCCAAGAAATGGAAGAGCTTTGCTCTCCTTCTTTGGAGGTATTCAAACAGAGGCTAGATGGCCATATGACAGCAATGCTTATCCTGTAAACTTAGGAAGACCATGAGAGGGAGGGCACGAAGGCTTGCACCAGCGCTTTTTTTCTCTTGGCCCTTTCTTACACGCCCAGGGAAAAGCTGATTGCACTGTGCAGGGGGCTGGCCTAGATGACCCTGGAGGTCCCCTTCCAACTCGTATGATTCTATGATTCACCCCTTGCCAGCCACTACTTGGGTGGACTGAACGCCTTCATGCAGAGGAGGGGCTCATTGATCCAGCTAGTATTTGTTGGGCGAAGGGCGAGACCAACTGCAGTCTCACTGCTTCACCATCAAAACACACCATCAGGACGGCTCAGAGGGTAAACTTTGTTTAACTGAAAGAAACTAAAATAACCCCTTTTGATTAGCTGAGCAGCTGTGAATTCTCAGCCTATTCTCAAACTTTCTGACAGAATTGGGGGTGGGATGGGGGGATGGGAAGCAGAAGGAGAAGAGAGAAGAGATTGGATTTATACCCCGCCCTTCACTTGGAGTCTCAGAGCGTCTTACAAACTCCTTTCCCTTCCCCTCCCCACAACAGACACCCTGTGAGGTGGGTGGGGCTGAGAGAACTCTGACACAAACTTCTCTTTTTCAAGGACAGCTGTGCCAGAGCTTGTGACTGACCCAAGGTCACATCAGCAGGTGCAAGCGGAGGAGTGGGGAATCAAACCCAGTTCTCCCAGATTAGAGTCTGCACACTTAACCACGACACCAAACTGGCTCTCAGGCCATGGAAGAGCACGGATCCACAGAGCACCACCTTGTCTGCTCTCCCTGGCCATGCACACGGCCACTCTGACATCTTTTACCCCTAGGTACGAGACAGGAGGTCCGTTTGGCCACTCTACCTCTTCGTTGCCCCTGGGTTCGGTGATGGTGGCTGTCTTCACAATAGGTTGATCTACCCCCTCAATGAGCACCCAGTTGCCAGCCGGGACTCTGTTAACCTCTATGTGGTACCTGAAATAAAATAACCAAGGAGGAAACTTATTATTGATGTTACGGTGCTCTTGTCTTTTCCTAGAAAGGAAACTGTCATTGGTTTTCAGGCAGCAGATGTTACAGCCCTCTTTCATTTTCTAAGACTGTCAGTACAGATGGACTAATGCAGGGGTGTCAAACTCATTTGTTATGAGGGCCCGATATGACATAAACGAGGCCTTGTTGGGCCAGGCCATGTGTGTCATAAAATGTAATGCCAGGTAGTGGAGAAGATATAAACTTTATAAAGGACACAAACACAAAGGGTGGGGTTTTTTTTAAACTTAAAAACATGTTTAAAACAGCACTCTTGCAATATTTTGTTTATTTAGCAGTGTCTGATCACTGACACCTCTTGCTCTGAATGATTGCATCAAAGTGTCTGTGCTGTTGCAGTCTTGAGTATGCTGTTCAGGTGTGTATCTGTAAGCTGCAAACCTACAATGACGCAGCACAACTGAAAGCAGCAGCAGAAGACAGCCAGTTCCACTGCGGGCCTGAGAGAAGCCCTCTGGGGGCCTGATCCGGCCCCCGGGCCGCATGTTTGACACCCATAAGGCATATGCAGGTGATTTCATTTTTTAATTTATGTATAGGTAAAGGTTCCCTTGCTCGAAAGCCAGTCGAATCCGACTCTAGAATCCGTTTCAAAGCCGAAGAGCCAGCGCTGTCCGAAGGCGTTTCCGTGGTCATGTGGCCGGCATGACTAAACACCGAGGCGCACAGAACGCTGTTCCCTTCCCACCGAAGTGGTACCTATTTATCTACTTGCAATGTCTTGCTAGGTTTATGTATACCCCAACCTTGATCCTCTAATGGGGACCCAAAACGGCTGACGTCATTCTCCTCTCCTCCATTTTATCTTTACAACAACCCAGTGAGGTAGGTGAGACTGAGAGAGTGTGTCTGGCCCCAGGTCACTCAGTGAGTTTCCATGGCACAAGTGATGGATCTGAACCCGGACCTCCCAGATATTTGTCTGACACTCTTAACCACGACACCACATCCCTCTTCTAGCCTACAGCTACGGCCGTCAGTAACTGAGAAAAGCTTTCTACCTCTGTGCGGCAGACTTCTTAAAGAGTTGAATTAGGGGGCTTCCGTGCAGGGCAGCCCGTCATCTTTCCAAGTAATCACCACCACCCAAATTCCCCCAGAAACCAGAAGAGCTTGACCATTCTTGCCCCCAAAACTTTCCAAGTAATACGCATTGGATTGGACCCATAGGTTTGACTCCACTAATGTTGGGACCTTCCTCCAATGGAAGGGGCCTCTTCCCTTGGAAGCAGACTCCAACGTTATGGAGCCTGGAACCTTTGGATCCAGCCCATCAAGAGAACAGGGATATTTCTGTAGCTCTGCTTTTGACATAAGCTAGCCTTCTTCCAAGATCCAAGTCCTTGGACAGTTTTCAGGTACTGGGAGACCACACAGAGACCGAGTGGGCACAGGTGAGCTGTGCAGAGACCAGAGCCGGGAGAAATGTCCCAGGGCCCCCACAGTCCTTGACCACTGACAATCCTGCTCAGCACACAGGTGCGCACTCCCGTCTGCTTTCAAGCAGTCTCTCCCAATAACAGCAGAGATTCCACATGGCGCGCCTAACTTCACGTTGCAGTTGTAATGTTGCATGTATAGAAGCCCCTCCCGGAGACCCCCACCTTGCCACGGAGATCCACAGGCGTCCCACGGTGCAGATCTGTGAATCCTCTTCATCTTCCAGGGTGTAGTTCTCTCCAAGAACTTTGACGGGCTGCCCGGCATGGATGGTCCCACTCAGCACCCTGCCAAATGCATGGAACTGGACCCCGTCGTCTGTGCTGTACATCTTTGTGGTGTGGCACATGAGCGGGCCCTTTCCGAACAAAAGGAGGAGGGTGGGAAATCAGTCTGCGTGTAAACAACAGTCATGGCACACAGCTGGTTCAGACACAGTTGGTCAAACACTTAGATGACAGCAGCCCTAGTTTAGAGGAAAAACCGCTACTTTGCACAACAAATTGGTTGGGGGGCAACAGAGGGAGGGCTTCTGGAGTTCTGGCCCCACTGGTGTGTTGAAAGTCATAAGGCTTCAGTATGTGTGATCACGCCAATCTATTTGACAGGGGTCTGACAGTCTGAGGAACCAGAGCAAACCGGTTCTGACTGGCGTTAAGCTGAGCTATCTCACTGGGATTCAGCGGCAAGCTGACTGGCTGGTCAATGTATATAAGTGTATGTAGTCTGTATATTGTATTCCTTCTTTTTGTATGAGCGTATTGCGGAGCACTTTGATGGAGTGAGCTGTATATATTGGAAATAAATCACTGTACACAGTTAACTACAAGGACTGTGTGGGTGTGGTTTTTTGCAGTGGGATCTTAAAGGTAAAGGTTCCCTTGCTCGAAAGCCAGTCGAATCCGACTCTAGGGTTGTGGTGCTCATCTCCGTTTCAAAGCCGAAGAGCCAGCACTGTCCGAAGACGTTTCTGTGGTCATGTGGCCAGCATGACTAAACACCAAGGTGCACGGAACGCTGTTCCCTTCCCACCGAAGTGGTCCCTATTTGTCTACTTGCAATGTCTTGCTTTCGAACTGCTAGGTTGGCAGGAGCTGGAACTAGAGATGGGAGCTCACTCCGTCATGCGGCACACTCGGGTCTCGAACTGCCGACCTTCCACAGCCTGCAGTTCAGCGTCTTAACCACTTGAGCCACCGCAGTGGTTCTTAGCAGTGAGATCTTAACAGGGTGCAATTTGGATCTTTGGCTGAAAGCTGACCTGGTGACACGGACTGCGCGACATGGTGGACCTCCTGATGGCACCTGGTTTTTGGCCACTGTGTGACACAGAGTGTTGGGATTGGATGGGCCACTGGCCTGGGCCTACGTGGCTTCTCTTATGCTCATAAATTTGCAGCAATCTGGTTTACGGCAAACGGTTTCCAGATCTGGGTGCCACCATCGGCCCACCGATCGCAGTGTGGAACCTACTGACCTGCAAGCACGTGACAGGAAGTCTGCAATGTCCAAACGTGCAGGGAGAGGAGGAACCAGAGTGCTACGAACCTCACCAGCGTGCGTGCAACACACACCACGAGGGGGCCCAGGGCACTGGAAGACTGGCAGGTGGGGATGCATGGCCAGGCAGACTGTGCTGCATGTGTGAGGGGGAGACCTCTGGAATCCTCTCCGTCACCTTCTGACTACGCTTTGCCACTTGCTGCTTTTCTCTGCATGCGTGCAAAGAAAGGCAGGAGGCCCAGTGCTCTTGCTCTGTTCCACATGTGCATGAGCTGCAGGCTGTCTTAAAGGAAGCAACAAAAAGGGTGGGTCCGCATGGGGCCTGCAGGCCAGAAGAAGGAGAAGCTCTGCGACCCACCCCGGAGTCCCAGCCCATGAGGAGAAGGACATTGGTTTACGGAACCCCAATCAGCAAAGACTGGGAAAGAAAGGCCCATTGGGGCTCACAGCACTGAGCTACCTGGACATCCGGCCAACTCCCCAAAGGGAAGCTCATAGCGAGCTGTTATCAGTGTCACTGACTCCTCCAAGGACACTGAGAGACAGCAGTTTTGGAAAGGTGCTGAGAACACTGGGAACGGCCATTGGGTGTGTGCAGGGCTTTTTTTGTAGAAAAAGCCCAGCAGGAACTCATTAGCATAACAGGCCACACCCAACAGTAGAATCTCATTAGCATATTAGGCCACAGCCCTGACAGCACAGCTCATTAGCATATTAGGCCACACCCCCATGTTACCAGAAGTGTGGTAAAATCCAGCCACACCCACCTTTTGCTTCTTATTCTGTTTACCTTGTTTGTGGTCAAAACCCAGGGCTTTTTCTGTAGCAGGAACTCCTTTGCATGTTAGGCCACACACCCCTAATGTAGCCAATCCTAATGCGTTCCTGCTGTTGGGCATGACCTATTATGCTAACGAGTTCCTGCTGGGCGTGGCCAACTCGGGAGCCAGCCGGAACTCCGTTCCTGTGCGTTCCTGCCCAAAAATAGCCCTGGGTGTGTGCATTCCAGGGCCAAACGAGATGAAACAGCGGCAGCCACGCTGACGGTACACAAGTCTCTGCCACTCATGTATACATCAGGGCATGCGAGGGAGTCGGCCACAAAGCACCACACAGGTTAGGGGAGTCAAACTCTATCCGCAAACAAAGGGAGAAACGCCTTCCTTACATCAGGATCACACTCGCTCATGGCCTCCCCCAGGTCGGAGTCCACTCCTCCGGTGTAGGTGTGTTCGATTTTGGTCTTGGCGCCTGCTTTTGGGGAGGGGATGTGCTGCACACACATATCCACAAACCCTAGGAGAACAAAGCCGAGAGAGATGAGGCTGCAGCAAAATAGTTAAAGGGGGGGGGGGAGCCTGCACGCAGCGCCTGCCTCCTGCAACCCAGAAACCATTTCCACGACCCACTGTCTGAATCTCTACATGAAGGGAACCCTGCCCGTTCCTGCAAGCAGCTTGCTGGCCGGGCCTGTGGGGCTTGTCTCTTGCAAACCTGCAGGGTGCCCTGCAGAACCTGCCCCAGATCCCTGTGGGTTGTGCATTGAAAGGAAGGCAGAGTTAATAGCAGAGACAATGTTTTCCTATTATTTCTATATTGGGCAAGGTCTCCTCAGCTCTAACCAGCACCCCTAAAGGCTGCTATAATGTATGAGGACCAAAGCATGCCTCCACGTTTTGGTTAGAGCATTGTCTTATAAGGAGATGGAATGTGACTCTCAGCAGTTGTTTTTTATTCTTAAGGACCAGAGGTCTGAAACACTGGGAAAATTACCTAGAAAAAGTGTTGGACTTTTTGGATATTTGCTTAGCATATTAATTCTTTGGCTTCTGCATTTTCCTATGATGGATTGTATTTATTTCAGACAACAGATGCATTTCACGTCAAATGAAGTCTCCTCTGAATATTCTGCCGGGAATTCATCTCACAGCTGTTTTTTGTGATTCTTTGCTACTTATTACGGTGTCCTGGATTTTTGTTGTTGTACGTTCTAATCACCCTGCCCACTACATCATGCTTGTCCGGGGGAAATCTGCCCACCACAAATGCTGTTCCCTAATTCTAAACCCACAACACAGATTGCAACGGCTGCTGGGCTCTTTTGCAAACCCTTCCGGCAGCAGGCGGATCCCGTGTCGACCCAGCCCTCGCGGCATGACGACGGGCGCCCAGCAGGCAGGCCGCGGGGCTCACCTGTGAACTCGCCAAAAAACTTCTTGCAGACGAGCCTCAGGAGGGGGCGGATGTTGAGCTTGAGCTCCTCCTTGGTCAGGTGGATCCCCAGTTCGTCCAGAGTCCTGGGAAGGGTGGTGTCCACATCCCCAACCACCTGCGGTGAAGGCAGGGAGATAACTAAGCAGAAACTCCGGATGCCACAGAAACATACCTGGACGCTGGAGAGAACTTCTGGGGTGGAGATGGCAGGGGTTGTTAATGTCTGAAGATTTGATTCTGGCTGACAATTCAGAAAGAACACCCCACTATAATACTCCCTTTCCAGATGGAAAGTCCCATGCGCATGAGCACAGACAGAAACTCCCACTGGCTACAATAATTATCTCGCTCACTGCTGTAGGATTTCCCAAAGAAGCCTGTACGTGCCTGACACCATTCGCTTTCCCAAGGCACACAAAAACGCCTTGTCGTTTTGAAATATCTTCCAGAGATCCACAGGAGCTTTATGCACGCTCGCTGAAGTTCATAGGGTCCAAACTATTTTCAAGTTGCGCACGGCTTTTCTGCTGTTTTAACAACGTTACTGCACTGATCACTGTTGCCAGTGTTTTGATGAACACTGTGAAGACTTGGGTGTCGATGTGTTGAGAAAGCAATAAAGTCTTTTAGTAACCTCGTAAAACAAACACTGTTCATAAACAAAGGAGTTCCAGGAAGACTGGCTCCTTTCTAAAACAACAAGCACACAGGGAACATGGCTAAGTTAGATAAACACAGAAAACACCGTGTTGAAATAATAAACACAATATTCACATGTACTTATAGCTAAATATATTTGCTTTTTATACACAACATCAACACTAGTGTATTGTAAACACTTTCAACCTACAACATCACATTTCAAACACTTTCAAACTAAGTTATATAACATGAAGAGTCCAACTGAGAATAAATACCAATGTACAGTTATTTGTACCGAACAATGCAGCAACCTATTGTACTATGTAAGGATATTGAATTTATATTATATTATGATATATATCTTGTTGTTCAGCTCCAGAAAAATATATGCCTGAAGATTTGTTCGAAACACGCAGGTTATGCCCTGGAGGCGTGTTGCTAGGCCTGCTTGCTAGCTGAATCACCGCATGGGAAAATACGTCTACTAGGCTTGCTTGCTAAGCTGAATCATCACAGTGAGAAATACAAGCTGCCTGCTAGCTCTACCTGATGGATCATCCCTTGGGAAATGTACAATAGGTTGCTACATTGTTCGATGCAAATAACTGTACATTGGTATTTATCCTCCATCAGGAAGAAGACAGTTGGACTCTTCATGTTATGTAACTTAGTTTGAAAGTGTTTGAAATGTGATGTTGTAGGCTGAAAGTGTTTGCAATACACTAGAGTTGATGTTGTGTATAAAAAGCAAATATATTTAGCTATAAGTACATGATGTGAATATTGTGTTTATTATTTCAACACGGTGTTTTATGTCCTTTCTAAAACAGACTGATACACTGTGCTTGAAGTAACAGGAGCCAGGGCTTGCTCCTTCCCTGCTGCCAGGGCATCCTTGCCCGCCTTTCTCTGCATGGCTCCACCCCAAACCCCCAACCCCCCCCCCCGGCAGGCCATGACAGTAGCACAAATCAGAGAGAAAAAATTGACCAGGGCATGGAGAGAGGGGCCAGGCTCCACTCCAGTCCATTCTGAATACTGAAGAAACCAACTCCCAACAGGCTGCCTTGTTGACATCCACAACCGGCAGGTGCCCAGAGAGAGAGAGAGACCCTCAAGGGGGAGTAAGGGACGTACCTGAGCCAAGATCTTGTAAAGAGGCTCCAGAATGAATTCCACAAAGCTGCGCTGGGAACTGCTGGTTGGGGCCTTCTTCGTGAACTTCCTCCTGGGGGGGGGGGGGGGGGGCCAAAAAAGGGAAAAAAGCTTGTGTAGGGGG